TCTGCGAACTATTTGCTACCTGTGTAGCTCGCCTTAGTCTTGGCTGACACCACGCACCGGCAGGTAGCTCTAACCCCCTGATAAACTGTCTGTTGTTATGATGGGCATGTTTTCCTCTTCTGTCCTTTTTACAGGCTGGTTCTGTCCTAAGCAATGGCAGCACTTATTAAAGATGATGGTATGATGATCTTGGTATGATGGGGAGTAACAGAGTTTTAAAAATACTTTTGCAAAATAATAATTTGGTTGCTTCTTTTGGGAAGATGCATTCCATTCAGAGAAATGGCAGTGTCCTTCTGAGTGCATGTTCCCATGCTTGCACTGGTACAGCACTGAGCCCACTCCTGAAATGCAACTCTCCTGAGCTCCCAGACACGTTAACAAAGGCTAGCAATGACACCGGGTGGGGTTCAGGCATGTCTCTGCTGGAAATATGTTAGTGTTTAAGCCCCCGGAGTAACCCCACAATTCTTACTGTATAGATAGAAAGGGAAAATCAGGCGTCTGATATGGAGTTATAAATCCAGAGATGTAGTAAATTGCTTTTATTGCTTCTTGCAGCTAATTACCAGCTCAAATTTGTTGATCAGTTCTGTGCATTGCATGTACCCTCTACAGCTTGTTGTAATGTTTATCTACTTTGTACAGAAACAGCGGAGGAAAAGCAAAAAAGAGGAAGTTTAAAAGTTACTGCTCCTTAGCAATTAAATAACTTCACAGATTTAGGTATCATGCTAATTAACTAAGAAAAGGCCTTTAACCTAGAATTGACATTAGAATGCAGACAGGTTTATCACCAAACATGTCAAATCTGTTGACATGTTAATCGTCATGCTACAGATGAATTTAAAGTCGAGGGATCCATGTGTAATCTGCCAATCCAAGACTGCCAAAACCAATTTGTCCCTCCAAAATAACCACTTGCAAAGAGAACTGCAAGTGCATCTAGCTCTGCAGAAAGACACTCAGACATGTCCTTAGACTATATGTGCCCTTACGCAGAATATATTAATATTTGGCTCCACCTGGGTATCTTAAACACAGGAATGGAGTCCTCATCTCCCGGCCTCTTGTCCCCACTTTACTTCCTTGTAACTCATTACGTAGAGATTGTTTAATGTAGATTACAAAGGTAAAGCCAATCAGGAAAACCAAAACCCAGCTTTTGCTGATGAGCTAGCTGGGTGCTTATGGTTTTGTGTTTCTAGAATAATTGTTTTAGCCTAAAGCTGACATTGATGTAGAGAGGTTTCCCTACGTGCTTCAGGGAAAGTGCATCTACATACCATTAGTTGTACGTTTTCTTCCGAAGCACCTTTCTTTCTAATTCCCTGACAATTTCAGCCTGGGGCTGTTTACATAAGGAGCCGAGGAAGAATTCCTCTTTAAGTGCAAGTGTTGATAAATGTTGTTGAGAAAATCTGGAGAACAAGGATCTCCAACAAATTCAAAAAGAACTGCAGGAGCATATGATAGGAGAAGTACGATGTTAGGAGCACAGTTTTAGAGCCATCAGATGTAGCTACTGAATAAGGGCAACACACAGTCTGCAGTAATTTGCAATACAGCCACCAATATAAAGATAAAAGGTGAAACTCCATGTGTTATTTACTGATAATCAAATCACTTTAACAATATATCTTTTACAGTTGTAATAGGATCTATTAGTGAATCTTAAAAAACACGAGAAGTTAGGAAGGTAGTTTACACATAATCTAAGTAGCAAAATATTTGTTTTCCTTTCACTTTAATTATGGGTACAGGAAATTTACACAACCAATACAAATACTGAAAATGTGAAGTATTTTCATTCTTTTAATTTTACAATAAAGCGTATAATAAAATAGACTTAATTATCCTAAAAATGCTTACCAGTCAATTGACATTCATTATTTAAGTTACTGCTTTCATCTTTATTTTGTTGCTAATTTTATAGTGTCAAATGGTATATACACTACATATAAAATACATAAAGATGCAATATCCTGGAGCAGATAATGTCAGTATCTCCTGTACAATTGCAATCGATTGCTAGCTGAGGCATTCTGGTACTGTTGTGAGGCTATTGTAGTGTTCACCAAAGGGGAGGATATACATTGCTGAATACTCTATAATAAAATGGAGAATAATGAGATATACATGCATATAAACGGAAATGTGATTATGTATAATATAGTATTCAAGAAACATCATCTGATGATATAATGTGATCTGTTTTCCATTATATAAGCAACTGTGCACCTTCATCTGGATTTAGAGGTGGTATTACAGGGTACAATGTCATTCACATGAATTACTGAGTGAATATCCATACTTTTTTTGGATGCTCTGAAACTAGGAGAGCTGAAGCAAGTTGTTCTTTTGGTGAAGTAAAATTTTTAAATCCCATCGCTTCTCATAGCAGAAGATTTGATGAAATCTCAGTCATCTACTTGTTCTGCAGCTGGGAACTTGTATGACAGTTGTTCACTCTTATCATCAAGAAGAATTCCAAGCCAGTGCCTGAGGTCTGAATGTATATCTACAGCTGGACACCTGTTTAAATGCTAATGTATATACAAAAGTCTTAAATGTCCATCAGAGAACTTACTGTTCCAGAGACTGGACAACCCGAGTAATGTCTAGTGTTTATATCTTATTCATGAAACAAAAATCTTGTAGATGAAGAATTACTGGCAGAAAGCTTTGTCATAGACCAGCCAGCCAAGAAGTCTGACTACTGGAAGCCAGCAAAATGCATTGGTGGGGGGAACACCTTCTTTTTTTTTTTAAAGTAGGACAGGCTATGGAGAAAGCCCCAGAGAACATACAAGCTCAAAAATGCTTTAATAAAACACAATTAGATCCAATAAAGGTAGCTATGCTACACTAATGGCTGAAAAATACAAAATTTACAAGTTGTTTAGCCATAAAGAATTGTATGTGTAAGACAGGAGGCAGAAGAGAGGAAGCTGAGGTTCCAAGTCACACCCACTACTAGGATTCACAAGAAGAGAGGTAAAGATGTGCTCTGTGTTCTTTCCACAGTCCCACTTCAAAACCAGGCAATCATTTTGAATTTAGGAGCCTGGATACTTTCTGGGGTTTTTCAGTCTCAAACTCAATAAGTGGCAAAAGCCTTCTGAATGAAGAGTATTTTCTCTAACATTTTTGGTAACAGTTTATCCAGTAAAGTATATGAAATATGTGAAAATATATAAAGTATGTGAAGTATACAGTCATCTGTCTGTATTTTTTCCTCAGTACAAATATATAGTAAAGGAGGAGACTGATAATACAGAATTATAAATATTAACTCCTGCATTATAAACTGAATATTTGAAATGTAAATTTTGTACTTTGGACACTCATCTGCCTATTCAGTTCTTTATATTCCAGGTATCATGATTATTTTGTTTCAAACTGACAAGATCTAGAATATATGAAACAAAATACAAACACTTCTTGAAGAAAGGTAATACCTATCATTTATAGAACATGGCATGTCTGCAGGTCAGAGTAAGAATTCACTGTATTACCAATTATTTTATGCACTACCATGCATCATTCCCTCTTTCCTCTCTACGTTATTAAGAAATACAAATTAGTTATGAGCTATATATAGTTCAAATGGACCCTGCTAAATTATTATTCCTTAAAAGCTCCTGGAACTTCCTGGACTTTGCAAGAGTCTTCACATTCCAAAAGGATGAGGATGAGGCAGTCTGGTACAAACTGTTAAAGCCTGTTTACAGTACTATAGAGTTCATATGTGTATTTTTTTTTACATAAATAGAAATCTGAAAATCTGGCAAGCCAGTTGAACAGATTGATGTTAATATTTTCAATTATATTTTTACTATAAAATAAGCCATAAGGTCAGTTTGTAGGAATTAAAGCTGAACATATTTAAATTAAATACTTACTAAAGGGGTGATTATCTGCAAAACATTTGAAGCAGATGGGTTTCTGGTAATGGCTTCTTGAACATCTAAAAATAAAATATAAAAGTACATAATAAATATTATGTAAACCAAATACTACAATAGAAATATGATTCACAGTCAAATATTCAACACAAAACTTCCCGAAGGTGGTGGAAATGTAGTTTAAAAGCACTGTTCTTTTTTCCCATACCAACAGCTACTGAAGTATATGCTGTATCTGTATTTTAAAAATTTGCAGCTAGATATTATTATCTGAACAAAAAAATTATTGTCAATAAAGAAATCTAAAGCTAGAGAAAAGAATGCCAGCTACTCTAAGCTGGCAACAAAAATTCCAGATTTAGACTGGCTAGTGACTAACTGTCTTTCATTAAAAAGACCGCTATGAAGGTACACCATTTTAGTCACTTAATTTGGTAACGTGAAAACAAAGCCAAAAAAAGGGGTTCAAAAAGGTCACAGTTTAAAAAAGCAATGTACTTACATGACATGTAAGTACTTACAACACTTTACTTACTTACTTATATGTACGTACATGCCCTGTAAGTCTCCCTGTAAAATTTCACAGCTTACTACCAATTTTAATCTCCAAATAATTAGACAAGCAAACTAAATTTCTAAGATACATATATATATGTATTACATTAATTTTCACAGTTACATCATTTGCAATCAGTTAACTCCTATGATTCTTTCATTGTTTCTTTCATATTCCTTATGTACTTTTCTTATAGTTTTCATAGTTTTCATGTTTTGCAAACTTCAGCTTTCTTGCTCCCATTCCTTCGCTGCATTTATCTTTGCCTCTATTTCTTTGCTATTTCTCTGTTATTTATACAGCAATTTATTTTCTATTTTCTTGTATTTCACTTTTCATATCTACTTTCTTAACCCAAGTACATCATGCTAAAACTCCTCTCTGACAAAAGACTGAATTCTTCACTTCTATTTGCCTGGAAGCAATAACCATGAGGTACGATATAATGAAATTCTGAAGCACTCTGTGATGGAGCAGGAATTGTAAGCTACAGCTGCAGAAAGTTTCTAAGTGGTTGCAACGATTTCTTATTCTGCTGTTGCAGTTTACAGGAAACTGAAGCCTTTTTCCTCAAAGTCAAGCAATCCACCATCTGATGTAGACACGTATGGATAGTGTGCAGGAGCTTAATAAATCCTGGCTTAGTTTGATTCCAGTCAACAGGGAGGTAAAGGTGGGTAACCTGACCATGAAATGGTGCAGTCCACAAGGAAAAGAAGTAAAATAGTAAAACAAAATCAATGAACTTCAAGAAAGCAGACTCTTATAAACTCAAATAATTGGCATGTAAAATTTCATATGAAAAAAGTCCAAGGAAAACATAAAATTCAGAGTTGGCAGTTCCATAAACAGCAAAAATGGCAAGCAGAAGTCATTCCAACGATATGGAAAGCCAAGCTGCCCAGTGAAGAGACCACGTGGACTAAGGCACAAGGTCCCCGTTGATTTCAAATACAGGATGGAGCACACAAAATGCAGAAACTATGTCAAACTAATGAGAATTTTTATGAAAGATCTGTATGATCATGTAGGTCAATGCAAATACTAACCATTACATACAGTAGCAAGAGACCTGAAAAGTCAGTTTGTTCTGCGAATATGTTAGTTATAATAGGATGACGAATCAAAGTGTTGGCTAAATAATCACTGGAGAGAAAAAATTATCAAGAACAAGTACAGACTTATTCCCCACATTCTTCAATAAAATGTCAACTGCGATGGGACAGCTCATATAAAAAGGACCAGTATAAAGCAGGTAAGAAATCAGCCTGGCATAGAGAAAGAATAGGTTAGAGAACACTCAGGTAAGTTTGAGATTGTTAAAATAGTTGTGCAAGTGATATTCACATAAACATTCAGATTTGGCTGCAGCAATCTTAGAACTGTATTTGTGATCTTTAAGAATTCATGGAGAAGAGGAACATCCTAGAAGACTAGAAGACAGGAAATGAAAAGCCATTCATTATAAAGAGTTATACTTGCAAAAATATAGGGTGTATAATATAAAGGGTAATTATTTGCAAAAATAATTGCAAAAACATTAAGATGGATAAACGTTGGAACAGATTCCTAAGTGAGGCTGATACATCTGTATCTGTACACTTTAAAGAACAGTTTTGACAAACATCTGTTAGAAACAACAGCTACAGTTGGGCTGAAACAGTTTCTGAAGGTGTCCTGCAGTCATAATTTGAATTATTTTTTTGACCAAGGCAAAGTCACCATTATTTTAAATTAATTTCATTGACTCTAAGAAAGGTTTCACGATTTTGATCTCCTGTTTGCTACATTTAGTGAAGAATAATAAGAAGAAAATAAAAAGAAACATATTTCTGTCACAGGATTAATGTTTTTAATCCAAATTAATCCATGACAACAAAATATAAAGTTACTTAATCACTTGATGTAGGATCCTATTTATTAGCAAACTTACTTTGTAGCCTTTGATTGAGACAATCAAGAGACTGGAAGATCTTCTGTTCTTCTATTGAAAGTGCACTCATGCCTAGACATGGAGCCCTGTTAAGCAGCAAGGGCTGTCTGGCTGGTTGCACACTTTCCATAGCTGCCAGGATTTCATCTGCTGCAACTGGTGTACTTGCTAGTTTTTCTGCCATAAGAAATTGAACAGTGCTTTCTGAAACTGAAGAGATTACAGGGGTAACGTCAGATGAGAAGAGCTCATGACATTTAAATATACTGCTTGCATTCATGACTATAGGTCTGTGAAACACACAAAATTCACATTAAAAGATCAAAAAGGTGGCAAAGTCAAGAAGCATGATATGTTAGAAAACGACATAATGAAGATCACTAATGCATCTTACAATTGGCACCAGAAATATATAATGATATATGAAAAAAGTCTGACTTCAGAAATATATAACGATAGCAAGCGATACCTGTCCATATCATACAGTTATGTATGATACATACAGCTATCATAGAGTTAAATAAAAACAGGAGTGGAACGAAACTTGACTATATGTTGTAATGCATTTATAAAACCATGTATACCATGACACATGATGCTATATCTTGCATTTTTGTGAAAAAAATTAGGTCTATACAATGAACTACCCTTTCTTACTTAGAATCACTGGTGCCAAACGACACAAGTGTTGTTACACAGTGGATATATTAGGTCACTACTTTATGTATAACAAAGAATTGAACTGAGATGTGTTACTATACCTTCATCGGACTTATAGGTGTTACTCGTATTTTGTACTGGATCAAATGCAGAATGAACAGGACTCAGCTGGACAGTACGTAACAAATTCTATCAAAAATATTATAAGAATATTTTAAGGGTAATTTAAAGTAACTATACTACTTTCTGAACATTTTTAATTTATTATTTCATATTACTAAATGTTTTCAAGTGCAAAAATTTTAGTGTATACTAATACAATGATGAATTCTAGTTGGTTTTATTCTTTTCATTAGCAGTGACAGCAAGCTGACTAAGCACGTTGATTCAAAATTGTGTGACACTGAAGAAATCTTTGATATTCCTGAAACTCTTTCCATTTTGAGGATAAATAAGCTTTTTATTTTTTTTATAGTATTTAATATTTACCTGTGCATGATGAGTAGGCTTCCATCTTTTTGAGGCTACACTTTGTCTTCTGTGTTCTGAAAAAGCTCTGTGTTTATTTTCACGGCTGTCAAAATCCTGCTTTTGTCTTGTAACAGGAACAACACCTTAAAGGACATGCACACAAAAATAAACCAAAAATATGTAAAAACATGATAAAGATAGTAGTAGCAAAACTAGTAATGGTGAGTAAATGTCTCTGTCCAAATTTATATGTTTACCTTGTGTATGTTTGCATCTGATCTCGCTAAATGTATTTTCTTATAGTAGAAAGAGAGAAACAGGCGCTTCTAAGGCATATTTATTTTCATGTTAGCATAGGACTATAAGATACAGATGTGGATTGCATGTGCACATTTATAAGCAGGTTAAGTGAATCCCAGATAATAAAGAAGGTCCGTACAAAGATACAACACGGTCTTACCGAGTAAGAGGGAGAATGAACAGTGTACTATGATATAACAAATATTGAATAATGTGCCAAAAAGTAATGTTTTAGAAAATAAGTTGCATTTAGAGAATAATTCTAAAGTCTAACTGTCCAACACAGAAAATTCCTGTTGCCAAGATGCTGTATCTTATATCTTAAGGGATTCAACATTTGTTAAAATTAATTACATAGCACCGTGCAGAAAACATGTAATAGTTCACACAGTTTGTTTGATTCACAGAATCACAGAATGGTAGAGGTGGAAAGGGACCTCTTGAGGTCATCTGGTCCAATCCCCCTGCTCAAGCAGGGCCATCTAGAGCTGGTTGCCCAGGACCATGTCCAGACGGCTTTTGAGTATCTCCAAGGATGGAGACTCCACAAAGTCTCTGGGCAACTTGTGCCAGTGCTCCGTCACCCTCACAGTAAAAAAAAGTGTTTCCTGATGTTCAGAGGGAACCTCCTGTGTTTGTTTGTGTCCATTGCCTCTGGTCCTTTCAGTGGGCACCACTGAAAAAAGTCTGGCCCCATCCTCTTTGCACCTTCCTTCCAGGTATTTATAGATGTTGATAAGATCCCCCATGGCCTTCTCTTCTCCAGGCTGAACAGTCCCAGCTCTCTCAGCCTTTCCTCCTAGGAGAGATGCTCCAGTCCCTTCAACACCTTTGTGGCCCTTCATTGGACTGTCTCCAGTATGTCCATGTCTCCCTTGTACCGAGGAGCCTGGAACTGAACACAGTCCTCCAGGTGTGGCCTCACAGGTGTGATTCGAATGCAAAGTCATGGTTTAAAACCTTAGTTCTACAGCCTGGGATTTTGTAGTTAATCTTACTAATTTATACATCTGTATACTAATTTTAGTGACAGTACTGGTGTATAGTATTTTCCCTCGGCTAGAGAGGCCTAACCTAGACACTGTACCTCAAATTTATCTCAGTTTTGTCTGGTGTAATAATACATTTTCAAAATTAAAGCATTAAGTTTCAAAATTAAAATTAAGTTCTTAATTAAAATTCCATGCATAGAGACTGGAGATGCAAATCAGCATTTTCATGTGCAAGTCAGGAATCTACATATCCAAGGAGCTATTATATTCTCATTTGTAAACACAGTTACTTGATTTGTAAATGCAGTTACTTGCTTTATACTTGGGAAGATAAATTACCTATTTATTTACATAATAAATATTTACATGTGCAGTTTAAGATACAGTTCATGATTAGACCAAGAGGTCTTTTAGTGCTTTTAACAGAATTTTATTCCTTTAGTTGTTATTACAGTGATATTTAACAAAGCAGAATTCTTACCATTTGCAGAAAAAGAAAACAATTCATTGATCCTAAAAGCAGATTTGAAATTAGTCATCTGGCTACTGCCATCAATAGTAACATGGGACACATTAGAATCATAGAATCATAGAATCATTAAGGTTGGAAAAGACCTCTAAGATCATCAAGTCCAACCGTTAACCTAAGCTTTAAAAGGTTGCCATTTAGTTATATGTGAATTATTGTAATGTGACATATGGTGCTGAATAGCACCTGAAAAGGAAATATGATCATGAATACAGGGGAAAATGTGGGAAATGTGATCACTGAATATGTGGGAAAATTTAAAAACAAGCAAAGAAGAAACTCCTTGTTGTATTAGTAATCACATAATGTTTTTTCTGAAAAATAAAATCCAAAGTTGCTCTATTGATATGGATCAACACTTAATTTAATTAGTTTGCAAGACATGCTAGATCTATGCCTAGGAGGAGACTCCTTTGAGAAATGTAAGACAAAAATATAATACGCAATAGTATCTTTAAGGGCATGAGATACTGAGCAGTCTACCCCTGTTTAACTATAAGCATGTGAATTAGACCAGTATTTGTCACAGGCTCAATGTTAAACACATTTTTTAAGCATTTCACTGACTGAACACCAAAGGACTTAAAATAATTTTAATATCCAGCTACAGTATGATATGTGTCAGCCAGAAGATATACTACTTGAAGCCTGGAAACCCAACTAAAGGAAGATCCTCATGGACAACAATTTTATTTATTCATCTTGTTCTCACTTATCCTTTCTGTACATTTGGCCAAGCATTGCAACAGATCATATTTTCTACCGTGTCCTCACAGACCTCACTGCACTCTGTAATAGTGCCACAGCAGATATTTCACTCAAGAACAATGTAGTACTCGGTACTCTCTCACAGCAAGCAGTTCAGGACAAAGACTATGGTGATCTATGTGCATTTACAGGCAATAGAACAAATAATAGTAAGTCATTAAGTGTTATCTAGGGTATTTAAAATAAAGACGACTTTCAAAACACAAAATCTAAGCAGATACTGAGAGAGGGCCACGCACCCAAATTTTAAAAAGAGGTTACTCAGCTCTTCCTCTAAAAGAGCTGGAGCTATGTGAAACTGGGGATGTAGCATTTAAAGTTGCAGCAAAGACAGTATTAGCAGTGCACACAACTTTGACCCAGTAAATTTCCCGATTCATTGATGTGATGTGCAAATAAGGACATCAAGAGGCAAGCATCTCTGCTGGAGGCGAGGCATAGTAATGCAAGACTTCATTCATTTCCAATGTAAAATGAAATAGGTTAACTTAAGTCACACATATCTTAAGCTCATCTGTTTGACTTTGAACTGGAATGGATAAGCAGATAACATTTCTCATGTCCCACCCTTGCTCTAGGGCAGGAATATTCACCTACCTCTGCTCTTACACAACAGAGCTGTTCCGAATCACTCCATAGTTAAAACTATGTATTACTGGAGATAAAACTAGAACATTAGTTTTTTTAAGTTATGGGAATTACTTATTTTGCTAGAAAGTATCTTTGAGCTGCATGGCCGATCCTCGCGGTTATCCCAGTACGTTAAGTGGCTTGGAGTGCTGCTTGTACCTGAAGCAGGGTCTACAGCTTCAGGAGCTCTGCCTCCAGCTGCAGCCCTCAATAGGAAGCAAACCAGCATACAACATACAAATTAAAAGCACAAGGATGCCATCAGTGCCCAAGGCACAGAATATAGCTAGGCTGCAGAGGAGAAACAAGGCAAATCAAAAAACATGAAACATATTTTGAAATGTAAAAACCAGGAGATTAAAGTTTATTCTCCCAAAATTTCTTATGCATCTTCCCTCTATCTTACCAATCAATCTCTGCACCATATTGTTACCAAGGTTAATTTTTAATAAAATGCAGGATTGGTCCTCAAATTTCTTAAAATTCTTTATAAATTTGACATACTTTGCAGCACAGCAAAATTTGTCCGGTAGAAGCTCTTTATTTTTAAACTTAAATTTAATTTTTTTTGAGCATTAATTGTATTACTGGGACTAAAACTTAATAATTTTAGGCATTTACAGCATCAGCATTTAAAAACATGGTAGATCTACATTTCTTTCACTCTCAGGTGGCAGTGACTGTTGGACAACAAGCTATGACTCCCAGTTACCTTGTAAAACTTGCTCATATAAACTTACTCACTTCCTCCTATATAATTATTTAGACCACCTGTCACATCTGCTCATTAGTCAGGAATATAATCTTGGGGAAAATACTTCCTTTTCATTTAATATTGAAGAGAGCTATTAAAAATGGGGATCGACGTTTGAGAGGCCTCTGGGCACCATTAGAATAGAAATGACAATGACATATGGTGAAAACCTGTTAAAACTGGCTGTATTGTGTAAATGATGTGAATGAAAGGCTGGATGTTTTAACTCACAACAAATTTGTGATGTAATTGAAAAAGACTTTCTTCTGAACATCCCCCCACCCCAAACCCAGAAACATGACTCTTACCAGTAGCACGGTCTTCTGGAGCTCGGGCAGTATGCACTCCTTGCCAGGAGGTACTTGTTTTTCCAGCTGCTGGGATATGATGGAGATGTAATCCATTTTCTGCGTTAGCAGGTCTTCTTTCAGTGCAGGTTACTGAACGATCTCGACAGGCGCTTGTCTGAACACTATTTACAGAACAAGTATTTTTTGCCCAAGGTTCGTATTTGGCCGTGCTGCAGCCAGGTGTAGATACCGCGGTGGCCAAGTCCGAACTACAAGTAATACTCTCACTGCTTTCCGTACCGTTTCTATTTAAAACCTCATCTGCTAACAAAACATGCCTTTCATGTAAATCATTCCTGATAGCTTGAAGACTTGAAGGCAGCAGTGGCTGACACCCGGGGCTGGCTGTGTTTTCGCCACTTCTGTTTCCCAGCAGAGGTGCGGATGGTGGGTGAGGTGCTAACAATTTCCCTGGAGCTTTTAGAGATTTGTTGGCTTCAGCGGCTGACTGCAGTCGGATTATAGTGCCTGTTCTCTTCTTGGGCATAAAACTTGGCTGGGCTTTTACAGATCTTGGTCTTCTGGTTATTTTTGCCTTATTTTTGACTTGATTAACTTCATTAATTTTAGAATTATTACTACATACTGGGGGTTTACTTTCTTTGTCTTTTGATACCATCCAAGCTTTTTTAGCAGAAAAGGATCCAGTAGATATAAACATATTCAGAGATGTGCATTCTTTATTTGATTCCTCAGTATTAACATTTGGTTTTGATATATGAGAGTTTTCCTGATGATTTTTTATGAACTTGGGGCTTGAAGGTTGAGCAACAACACTTAAATTAGTCTTAGGAGCATTATTTGTAGTTTGAACATATTGCAGCTGTTCAGAAGATACTTCACTGGTGTTTTTTTCATAGCATTTTTCATTATTTTCTATTATTATCTGGTTGATTTGATCACACCATCTTAGCTTTCTATTGTATTTTTCATTTTCTGCACTTTTCTTTTTTATTTTTGCCAGTTCTAAACTGTCTCTGATAGAAGACACAGGTCGACCACTGATCCCGTGGTTGATAACCACAGCTTTGAAATGACTGGGTTCATATTTAGATTCCTTCTTTAAGATACTTGTGAATAATCCTGCTCTTTTTCTTTCAAGAATATTGTTTTTCAGGGTTTTGTGCTGTGCAGGAGTGCCAGAATTTAACTCCGTATCAGACACTAGTGACATAGTTTCTACTGTATTTCCCTTTTCTTCCTCTTTGTTATTCTGTTGCTTAACATTGCCCAGAACTGAGGCATTTGGTATGTCCTGAAATAAAGCTGATCCTGGATTAATGTCATCAATACATTTAATATTTTCTTCTTTTGTTTCAGTCATTTTTTCTGAGGTGTCTTTTAAAAACTCCATCCTGATGTTTTTGTCCTTTTCTAATGTAACAGCTGGGCAGGGAATGCCAGTGGAACATCCCTGATTAGGAAATAAGATTATAGATGTTGCAATAGGTTGACTGGAGATTTGCACAGATATAGTTCTTTTTTGTGGGGTCATTTTAAAACTCTGATCTTGCATCAGATCCTGAACTCTTTCTCCTGGAATAGAGTCAGGGCTGGCCCAGGCTTTGCTAGGACTGAAAACAGGATGAACAGTGGCTAATGTGCTAGCTGTTCCAGAAGATGGCTTGCTTCTTTCTTCTTTTATATTTTGCAGAAAACTAAATGCATTATTTAGAGATTGCTTACCAGAGGTAGAGAACTCTGCAGGTTTTTTTTCAGATCGGTGAGAAACAGATGATTCCTCTTTTGAATTGTTTACATGTTCAAATTATGTTTAGCTAAAAGATCATGAATAGGTAAGTTATGGTTGTTTTGGGAATCTACATTTCTCAGACAATTATTTAGATGCGTATTTTTAGAAGAAGGACTTTGAGCTGTATAAAGCAAACCGTTATTCCTAGTCTGTGATTCTTCTGGATTGTACAGGGCACAGTCACACTGTATAGTCAAAGATGATTCACTTGCTGTTGTGTAATTTCCATTTTGTTCTCCAGCCTCAAGACTGTCAAGGCTTGACAAGCTTTCTGAATCATCTGTTTTCTTGACTTCTTGATGAAAATTCTGAAATACAGACATAAAACCAGACTGTTACATTTATCAAAAATTTTTTTTTGCTGATACTAATTTTTCTTTAATGAGAGCTTAGTCTAAAATACAATCAATATTGAGCCTGGTGTTTTTACAACTTGGGGTCATAGCACCATGAGTGTTTCCATCAAGTCAAAATTTACCTGTGTTGAATTGTAAAAGAAAATTATGTGGTTTGGGCATGAAATTCAGAAGAAAGAGCTGCATAGTTCAACAAATTTAATCCTAAGTTTTATATCAATTCTACGATATCAAAAAAGGAACAAGATTTGTCTAAACACCACTATTGTTTCTGGATTGCCCTATGGCACAGGATGGTTTTTGTACTCTAACATGTAAAGGAGTTTACAAAATTAAAGAGAATCCATAAAAATGCAGATTCAATAGTGGATCTGCCCCAAACTGGATTTTTTCCATAATACTAGACTAATATGTTTATTTTCATACAAAGTGCCTCAACTGATGAGGATTTAAACCTTGTCATGGCAAACATAGAAAACATTTCTCAGCTATCATAATTACAGTGATCACCTCCCCCCCCAAAATGAAACCCCCTCTTCTCATCTTTCAGAAAGGAGAAAATATCATCTGATCTATGAGGACAGATCAGATCTAAGGGCATTTGGAGGCCTCATCCACTCCCCCAACTTCTTTGTCAAACACTAATGTAGTGATGAATATGAGCAACAGGCACCATATGAATTGTCAGAGAGATGACTTTATGTATGTACTATGTAGGCATTTTCTTTACTAATACTTCTCCATTCAAACACTGAGATGCCTGATGTGGTTTTAAATACATACTTTTTTAAAAGTTCAAGGTTTGAAAATACACATGAACATCAAGGAAAACATGCACATCAACTATTTTCAAATTCCCGTACACTCCCTCTCTCTCTGCCACTTCCACACAACTGAGCAGCTAAGTGATTTCATACCATACGCTGGAAAAAATCATGGTGAAAAACTAGGAGAAGCTGCATTAGATATGCAATCTTATGCAATGAAGATTTTTTTTTTTTTATTAGTGACTTTAAATGGAAAATGTTTCAAGTAGCAAAATCTGTTAACCTAGGTAAGTGATTATATATTCCCTAGCAATTACAATAGCATTAAGATTTTGAAAACTTACTAAAGAACGCATAAAATTAGTTATTGAATAAGAACACATTTTTGTAGTAAAACTTTATTTATTCTAATAAAATTGTTATACCATAATATTGCATAGTTTATAGCTGTACAAATATTTTAAATTGCAGAATAAAAAGCTTAGTGACTCCTGAAAGACTTTTTATGATTGAATTTAATCTTATCTTGCACTAAATATTCAGAGGTTGGTGCAGTCTTCCATTATAGTTATGATCTGAGATAAAGAAACTAAATAGAAGAACAAAGAACCAACTGTAAGAAAGATCCCTTTAGGGAACATTTTCAAACTAAAGCTATACAAACTGGTGTCTTTCTAATAGAAAAGAATAAATAATGCTTTGTTAGTTATTTATTAACCTTTATGTTTGGCTAAATTATATTGTTAACCTCTGCTTGAACTTCACCAAACAAGGAAAAGGCATATGCTCAGAGTTTTCTGTACCAGGCCAAATTTAAGAAATAACTTTGAAATTTTCAGATGGGAAAAAAACAGTAAAAAGAAATTATAGATGTCAGGCTTACTTCTTGTCTAATCTGGAAACTGCACCTGTATAGCTAAACATGTGTTTCTAAAATGACTAAGTTAAATAGGGGAAAAATTTTGTAAGCATTGATTTTAAAAAACCTGTTCCAATAGCAGGTTAGCTTAAACTGGTAAATCTGGAGGGTGCAAGAAAAGTTGCAACTTTTAAAAATTAAGATGAAAAAAATTCTACCCAGTTGTGCTCCAGAGGTTGAAAATAGACTTCATCCTGCATTATATATAATTTTACTCTCCTTGTAAAACAAACCTCATCGGAACATGAAATCTCAGTTGAGGCAACCTCCAGAAATAAGTTAGGAACTAAAGAATAAAGAAGGATTCCTCATTTAAACACACACTCACTTTTACTTAGTTCATGCAAATTTAGTTAATGTACATGTATTTTGTTGCATCATACAATTTCATCATTTCACACATTAAAAATTTACATTTACATATTTTATTTCCTTTTCTAGCCTATTCTGTAATGAAAGTCAATGTCACATTTTCTTGTAAAAATGCATAACTAGAACTATTTATGCAGACCTCAAAAAGCATTCAACAATTATTCGTTCTTTTTTAGTGGTCAATAGCTACAGGGGAATAAACCTGGAAATCCCAATTATTTAATTTGATTTAATCTGTGAGAATGTGATAGGATGATGAGGAAACAAAAATATTCCTAGAGTGTACTATCTTTTTATTTTCTGGATTTGCATATTGTTTTTGTTATACAAGTACAATTTATTGTTTTGCCTGTTGCCTGCATTATCTTATGTCTTAATGCATGAAATCTAAGCCCAGCCTGTCTATATACATGGTACTCTGGAAAAGAAAACACTTATGAGGAGTTAAAGAGGTCAGTTATATATCTTAAGACTTAGAACAGCTGTGTCAAGCAATTTCATTTCAGTAAAGCACTAAAACAAAGAGAAAACATGAGCCTAAGAAACCTTTCATGAGGCCAATGAAAGAACAACATTAAAACAAGTAGAATTTTAAGAGAACCTGAAAAGTGAATTTTCTGCCAAAGGGCTCTGTCAGAACGCTATTACACTACAGAGCTGCTACGTGTATATTTGACATTTTCTGCAAAAGAAGTGCTGACTGTACACAATTCCAAGAGGTTAATGGGAACACTCTTCTGAAGATAAATGCTGGAAAAATGCTACCTACTCTGAAAACTCAGGCCCCTCAGCTCTCACACTAGTTGCTATTTTTGATAATTTCAACTGGTTTATTTGCAGGAGTTCTTTGTGTATTATATGTGTGTGTATATAATGTTATACTTCACGTTCATTGTGAAGTAAAAGACAGCAGTGGTCATACAGATACAAAGCTACCTCTCAAAGTCAGTGAGGTACCTAAACACCTTTACTGGTTTTGAGTTTACCAACTATGGAATGGGAAAGTCCATTAGAAAATTAATAATCTCTTTTCTATACAAATTTGGAAAACATAAAGTACATGTTTGGAAAGCACTACACAATACTGATTTCACAGAAGATTTGGGCAGACCCAGGAAAGCAAATGCCATTGAGGCAGGATTTTGGTGCTTATGTTACACAAGAGATCCAGAATACTCTGCCAAACCCACCAAAGAAGCTATGGAGGTGTAGGATGACCAGAGAAAAGCTTCCTGCCAACAGCCCTGTCTTTCCTAGGCTAACTCCTAGATGCCTGATTTCCCCCCAGGCTATCTAGGATACAGAAACTAGCTATTTATGAACCTGAGTATTTAAAAGGATCCCATTTGCTTGTTTTGAAAATTATTACAGGATGCTAGAAACAGAGGTTCAAACTCCTTGGGATAAAAAGAACTCAAGCTTCCAACTTCTTAGGCACGCAAGTACTTCAGTAAGCTGTAATGAAGGATTTTTAAAAATAAGTGATCTGAACGCTGAGTGTCAGGGTTTCATTCTGACTTCCAGTTTTAGTGAAGTCCTGAGGTAAATGTACATAACTGCGTAGGAAACAGGTTTTCAGCTAAACACTTCTATCTATTGCTTTCCATTAATTAATTTAGCACCTCAGTACTCAGAGTGCTGGTTCTCAGGATCCTTGCTCCAGGTCCCTAATTCTCTCACAGACTAATCTAGTCATTCAGCTCCAGAAGTAGAATTCATAATGCTAGTTTTAAAATACTATTAAAATCATTAAATGATTAAATGTTGAGGCGCTGAGCACCACAATGCATTAGTCCCTTTTTTGTTTCTAACCCATTATTAAATTTGCTTTGAACAGGCACCATCCACCCTGCACGTTTAAGAGGTGGGGTCATGCAAAAATAACATGGGACTGCATAATTGAAAACCATCATAAGGCAAACAGACATGGAGGAAAATTAGGCATGCATATGCAATAATAATTTAAGAAGTTCTTAACTCAATTGCTTAACTAATAATCATTTTAATGTTATCTATAAAAAACAATGAAATAATTTAATAAGCAAATTAATAGTTATTTAGAATCTATGTTATATTCAATGTCATTTTGGTTATCCCCAAAAAGGAGGAAGGAAATCAGCTAAAGCTTATCCATTTTCACTTTTTTGGAATTTGCAGGTTGTAGGAGAAATGATGTTTTAAATAATATTTTGTAGATGCAGCTATTTCTAGACAATACTTCAGAGACAGAAATGAAGGGGAAATAATTCTCAGAGATTTTTTTCCATTTTAAAGCAAAGAAATAATCCTCCCTCTCACTGATGGTTAAGGTTTGAATGATGAGATTCAAAGTCCTGGAATTATTCTTTTCAGAAAAGCTTTCCAACAAAGTCTGATTTATGGGGAAAGCGGGAAAGAATAACTGATGGAGGAAAGTATTTCTTCATCTTCTAGAAAACTCAGAATCTGTCTTCCTTGTTTATTCTTATTCAGATTTTGATGTAAAATACAGAAATAAGGCAAAGTATTAGGGTTGACAGATTTCAATGAACTGGAGCTGTAGCATCAGAGAAAAATTATTAATACTATTTGACCAGTACACACGTCCTAAAAGACACACAACTATACAGTGTGTGAATATAATTTTTAAAATAATCCCTAGTTCAGCTGAGGAACTATCCTACCAGGTCTGTCTGACTTGCTAAAAAATTAGTATACATTTTTGCAGTCTAAAAAGCATTACTTTTTCTTTTAGCAATGTAAATACATTGCAAAGATGGAACAGTTTTTAACATGTTTCCACTCTATCTTGTGCACTGCACAGCAGCAACCAAGGCAGAAGGTGGACTTATATCAGGAAATCCTAAAGGTCAGATACAGAAATACTTTTAGAATCATAGAATATCCTGAGCTGC